GACAGTAAGCCAGTAGTTATTATGCATGGGGGACTCTGGTAGAAATGCAGTATTTTGTACTAATTGCTAGCAGAACGATCTGTAATATCAGCTGTATGATTTGTCCCTTACATGTGCCCAGCTATAACGATCTGAATTTAGTACCGCATTTGTTAATATTAGACACAAATTTATCCTGACACTTTTATAGGCAAAGCCTCAGAAACATTTAGTCATGCAAAATATAATCATAGTCTTGAAATATTTGCTTTTGCTTCCATGCAGTTTAGGCAGGATCTCACATTACAACCTTATCTCTTGCTGAATAGAATGGTTTGAAGAGGTTCTTTGGGGGTCCTGATTATAAGATAGGTGTTTAATTTACACTGAGTTGTTACTGCACCCTTATCAAAGAACAATTGTTTACATAACGTGAGTATTCCATGTCTCTATACACTCTTCAAAGCTTCGCTCTCATAGTGAATTAAATGTGGTTTTAATTTGCATCCCACTTTTAGTGTTTGTTGCCAGACATTTCAGACTTTTTGAGGGCAAATAAAAGTAACTTGTGGTATAAGTAAAATATTTTGTGTCAAAATAAAATAGCCAACCATTATGTAAAAGGCACATTTCCGTATGTGTTTATCTTATAAGTGCATGAACTAGACTTATATAGAAGCTTTGAAAAAATCCCCATGGCTGTCATATCCATAAGTCTTTCTGACCCATTTGGACAGATGTTACTATATTACTTGGAGCATACTATAAAACTTCCCTCTCACTTATGGAAATGTGCTCATACTTTGTTCCCCAAAAAGCGAATGCAGAGACCATAACACATGAGATAATAATAGACCTTTGGACACAGAGACATAAAATGGAACGTATGAATCCTTGGAAGAGCAATTAAATACATTTTCATTTCAACAACTGAAGATGAGGAACCAAAACAGATGGGCAGGGGGTAGAATAAATGAGAGAAAAATCAGTATTTATCATGCCTCTTGGCATTCTAGCTCACCAATTTACTCCGTAGTGTATTACAGTAAATCAGATCTAGTTCTGCATTCCAGTGCTTGATTTATTCTTGTATGAAGTAAACACTGAGAAAACTCTTCCCTGGAAATTTCTGGAGCCATCAGTGAGAAGCCTCTAGCCACACTATTATCAGTGAATTGACTCCATTTCTTCTTGGAAATAGGTAGGTTATCAATTATAAATACATTAGAGAAAGGGTTAGCAAAGGATTCCTGAAGAACACACTGCCCTAAAAAGCATGGTGAGACATCCTATTGTGAAGTATCTTTCAAGATCGTGAAAGTGAAAAAGAGCGTATTGCTTGCTTACATCCTGGGAACATCTGCCCAAAATCCATCTTCACTAGAAGTTGGATGGAACTTTCTTACAATGATGAACTTGGCCTCAATGGGAAAGGAACCTCTGTTACCTTCCTAACTTTTAATGAAATTAATCATCTTTACTAGTATTTGTTTTTAGCCTGTGAATTTCAACTCGTAAGTCCCTGATCTGAATTTGAACTCTAAATCACACTTGACAAAACTTGGGGCAGAGTACCAGTTGTGTATCGCTGCCACTCCAAAATCCAATAGCTTAAAACAACAACTGTATATATCCTCGGGTTTCTGTAGATTGGCAATTTGGGCTGAGCTCCAGTGGACAGTTCTTTTGTTGTCATGCCAGGGGGGCCTTATTCACACAATGGGGCCACAGCTGGAATGGTGGGGCCTGCCTTTCTCTTGCTCACAGCTGCCTCTCTTCCTCAAGCAGGCTCATCTGGGATTATTCATAAGGCCGCGGGGTTCCAAGAATGTGAAAGCAGAAAATGCTGAACCCCTTGAAGCTGTGGCTCAAGAGTCCCACGGTATTCCTCTGACACCCTCTGTGGGTCAGAGTGTGTCATAAATTCAACCCAGATTCAAGGGGAGAGAAATAGACCCTACCTCATACTGGGAGAACAGGAAAGAAGTGGTGACCATTTTTAATCCACTCCAGAATCGAGCATTGCCTTTATCTGGTCTGTAACCCGTCTGTGTTGTTCCTTTCTTGATAAGATTTTGTATCTTTTTTTCTTGCCCTTCCTCCAGCCCAATAACTCTTTCCTGGGTCAAAATTGAATTACCTCAAAAGAAAAAGCACCTGAATTATTTTATGCGGGCATAGTAACAACCATCTCCCGACGTTCGTGGTCTCTGCCTCTCTAATCACAAGACAGTTTTCTTTTACCATTGTTTTTATTGTGTTCTCCTGTTTCTCACCTATCTGTGTGGCTCTCTCATTCCCATCTCATTATCATTTTCTTCCATTTAGACAATTCCTGTTTGACCACTCTGTTTCTTCCTCTCTCCCTCCTTCCCTCCATTTCCCTCTCTTCTTCTAACACTTTGATCTTCTCCAAAATACTTTTTGCTCTTCTTTACAAAGATAGTAGTAAGCAAATATATTTCACTATGTCTGCTATGTGCAAGGCACCATTCCTGAACACTGTGACCAAAGGTGATTGAGGTCCCTTCTCTGGTGTGGAAGAAGCCATAAAGTAATAAGATAGTCATACACGAAATTAGTAAGATACCAAGACAAAGGGAATGCCAGGGTGATTGGGGGAGACGGTAATTTCAGAGTCATCATGGCCTTCCCGTCTGAGGAAGTAACCCTTGAGCACTTGACCTGAACATCCAGGAGCCACATAGGGGAAGATGGAGGGAGAAGTGTCCTAGGCAGAGGAGACAACATGCAAAATGATATCTTGCTTCTTTAGACTAAGCATCCCTGAAGCTTATCATCTCAAACAGTGGTTCTAACCCTGGCTGCATGATAGGATCATCTGTAATCTCTTAAAAATCCTGATTCCTAGGCCTTACCCCAGACCTAAGAAATCAGATGCTCTGACGTTGGAGGTGGGAAGAACGTGGATATCTGCATTTTATAAATCCCCACATGGCTCTAATGTGCAGCCAAAATGGAGACCAACCAGCCAGCAGCACTACTTTTCAAACACTAACATGTATAGATCACATGGGAATCTTTCTAAAATGCAGATTCTGATCCACTGGATCTAGAGTGGCCCAAGATTGTGCATGTCCAATAAACTCCCAGGTGACGTCACTGCTGCCAGTCTGGTTACCACTAGACCAGAAGTATCAGTATTTACCTGAAAGCTTGTTAGGAAAGCACATTCTCGGTCAGAGAATCAGAAGCCAGAACATTCTTCAGATGATTTTGAGACCCACTAACATTTGAGAACCAGACTGTGTCTTGATGTTTAGGCATAGCCAGTTCAGCACCTAATTATGTTGCAGGTTGTGTTTTCTGTGAGGGTTTCATGTAGACAAGCGTGTTAAAGCTTCTCCAGGACTCGCATTGAACTGGGAGCGGGAAGGTGCGATGCTGTGTTCTTTACACTGAGTTTCCATGCAGAGCAAGTTCCCTTTCATTCTGGTTAGCAGAAGAGGAAGAGAACACAGCTCTAGTCCCACACTTTGGCTCCTGCGTCCAAAGGCTCTTTGTTCACTCCGCTGGAGAAGCTCCTGCAGGTGCAGCTGTATGGTTGCAGGTATCACCTGTAAGGAGCTGATTTATTAAAAGCCCTGCTGGGGCAGTTTAGTCCCTGTGAGAGGATATTGTAACTCACCTCTAACTGCTGTCCTATCAAAAAAATCACCCTCTGTACTACTTCTCTTTAGTTACAAGCTTCAGTTAATAGTTTTCTCTCCATTAGGCAGCTCAGGGGAGTGCTTTGAAGAGACCTAATTGAATTCTTGCCAATTTGGGGCATGGTCCAAATCTGCTCCAGGCTTGGTATCTTCCATGTTATGTATTTACCTCTCTTCTAATATGCGTAGTTTCGATACCTCCTTCTGTTGCATATATGCTGGAAATTATAACCATATCCATAAATGCGTATCATCAACACGGTAGGACATGCTCCTTGGCATGGAGAAGCTGCATCTCACTGCTCTGATGCAAAGGGTAGAGAAAAAAAAAATTGAACTGAAAACTTCGAACTGACTACGGATATATTTAAAATCCTACAAAAGAATTCATGTCTTTTCATTGTAGAAATCCTACTGCTTATGAAACGAATCTAATAATGAAAAGGCAATCCTTTTTTTTCTCTCTCTAATGACTCTACCACCAGCCCCCCATCTACTACACCAAATTTGAATAGTCCTCTTTCTAACTGTTGGAAATATTATACATAGAACATTAACACTTTGGGCTGCTTAAGGAATAACATTTTCCTGGCCCTTCTCAATAATTTAGCCACAAGGCTGGATGGGGTTAATTAGCAAAGCACGAATTTGTGAGAGCGCGTGGAATGACGGGTGCTCATGGGCTGAAAGCCTAAAGAGGAGAAGTTGGCAAGTACATAGGTAAGTAAATAAATCAATACATTATCACGAGCAAGAGACCACAAATTATAAAAAGCAAAGTTCTTTCCCTTTTCTTTTTTCTTTAAAATAATTCTTTTCGGTAGCTGTCAAGCTGAAACGTTGTACAGTTTGGGGATATGCGGTGTGCCCGGTACTCAAAGTGTGTAGAGACCCAGTTGCTACAGATACTCCACATGCATTTTTAGACACTGGAGCATGTTTTATTCCCTAGTTCCAGATGTCCTCTAGATTGCTTATGCGGAAATTCTGGAACATTTATAATGTTGTGTTGCACGCCTTACCTCTCGTACTTCTGCAATATGCTTGTTTCCCTCAAAATCCGTTTGCTCCTCCTCTTTGGTTCCTCAGCTTATGTCGCTGTCCATATTTCAGCTTTCTGGGCAACAGGCATGTCTGCTCTTCTGTTGTTCTTTTCGTTTTGTTTTGGTTTTTGTTTTTTTTTTTTTTTCCAACTGTCATCCATCTGAAAGCGTTAATTATCTAAGATGAGCAGCAGCATCTCTAGCAGAATTATACTTGGGCCATAAAATATTTCATAGCTGAAATCTCTGAACATCTGCCTGGGATACTTAACAGAAGTAAATATTCTGTGTTGTTTCCCTCTCACAGTTTGTGGAGATGAATGCACGGGCCTTCTTCTCGGTGACTTGGCTCGCCTGGAGCAGATGGCCATGAGCGTCAACCTCACTGGCCCGCTGCCTGCCCCATATACGATGCTGTATGGCCTTGAAAATAGGACTCAAGAACTAAAGGTAGGTTGGAGCAGTGACAGCAAGAGCCAGGCAAAACATGACAGAAGCTTCCCAAGGGGCCATCATTGAGAAATTTTTCTTCCCATCGCCACAAATCAAGGAAAGCAGCCAGTGAGGAAATTCAGAGACTTTCTAAAGCAGTACTTTTCAAATTTGAGCACTATAATATACAGATTGCTATAAAGGGAAAGAGGCTTACATACCCCCAGTGCTTGGCCTAAATCAGCTTTATTATGTTATTTAAATATGTACAAACATAAAATCAGGTATGAATTCCCTATACTCAGAGCTCTATAAAATCAAAACACATTAATCCTTACAAAAGCCTAAAAAAAACAGTAAAATTAAAATTAAAAACATTAATATAAAATAGCAGATGATTTTTGCTGAAAGCAAATTGCAACAAGAATCCTGACTACTTCCACACGGGTTCTTTGATCAGTATGTTGCATGTAACTTGTACCATTCCACAATATGAACTACAGAGCCCCTTGCAAGGGGCCCTAAAATGACATTTGGCATCACTTGACAAGTTCAATGATTTAGGCGCTCGATCTGCCATATGATCAAACATGCGTGCAAAGATAGGTTTTGAGATCATGTGGTCCTATCCGTCTCTCAGGTGCCCAGCCTGAGTTCCAGAAATGCTTACATTAACATTTAAGTTTCCTGTCAAAGTGAAAGCACAAGATTAAAATTTGGAACTGGAGAGCTAGCAGACCTTTGAAAATACTTCAACAAGAGCTAATTTGAGTAACACTAATCTAAAACCTTGTGGAACCTTGTGGTAGTTGGTGGGATAGGAGGAAACGTTAAGGAAATTAGGGTTTCATCTAATGACAAAATGAAAAGTAACTACTTTATATACTATCAGTCAATGGTCAGGTGTTTTTTGTTTTGTTTTGGTTTGTTTTTTTTTGTTTGTTTTGTTTTGCTTTTGAGAAATTCTGGTTGATTTCAGTATTGTTCTTGGTCCCCTGGGGGTTTCATGACTCCTATCCTGTGGTCACTACCCTCAGGAAGCTTACAGTCTATGTACTTAAAACAATAATTAAACAATCAGCACAATCACCATGTGCTTTATAAAAATTTGATTTACAATAGATTACAAAGATTGGAGAAATGGGTAATATTCAGAATAACCAGGGAATGCATTATTAATGAGAGCATCATTTGTGTTGGAACTTGAAGGATAGACACAGTTTTAATAGGCAGAGAAATATTGGCAAGGACTGGAGGAAAAACCTAAGATTTATTCACTAGGCACTGGCAGATATTCTTCTAGGGGAATATATTCTGTAATCTGGATCATGGCCTTTAAGGTAAGCATTATTATTCCTCTTTTCCAGAAGAAGAAACCAATAGTGATGACAGTGAGACTAACTAACACTGGTGATTATCTCTGTGCTAGGCAATTAAGTGACTAAAGTCTTACATGAATTATCACACATAAATCTTACAGAAACGCCAAGAAGTAGGAAAGAAATACGGTATCTTTTATGTTTTGGTTTTGGTTTGGGTTTGTTTGTTTGTTTGTTTTCAGGTAGGGAAACTAAAGCACAGAAAAGTTAGAGACACAAGATCACATAGCTACTAAATGCAGAGCCAGGATTGGAATAGAGGCCACTGTAATTTTAGGGCTGGTGAGGATGAAACCACCTTTGTAAAGCTCAGAGAGAGAAAATGACTTCCCTGGAAGGGCCCAGCCTGCCAGTGATGTGGCCCTCCTGGCCCTGGGCTCATACATGCTCTTGTCATGGAGGCTAAGAGAGCAGGTGAGCAGAGGCGGAGCTGGGAATTCACAAGGCCTGTCTGTTCGATATCAGAAGGCGCATGCTAGTAAAACATAAAGCTAGAAACTGGAGTGGAGCAGGGTGATATGAAGGACAACCTTGAAAGCTAGTCAGCGGAATCTGAGTTTACCTTGTAGGCCTGGCATTCAGGAATGTAAAGAGTTTTATAAGGAAGACGCTGGTCATTTATTTTCCTTATTCCCCCTTATCCATGGTTTCAGTTACCCACAGTCAACCATGGTTCACAAGCAGATGAGACTCCTTCTGACTTCTCAACAGGTCAGTAAGTAGCCTAACGCTCCATGACAGTGCCTGTGTCATTCACCTCACTTCATCTCATTATGTAGGCATTTTATCATCTCACATCATCACAAGAAGGGTGAGTACAGTCCAGCAAGATATTTTGAGAAAGAGAGAGAGAGAGACTACATTCACATATCTTTAATTACAGTATATCTTTATAACTGTTCTATTTTATTGTTGTAAATTTCTTACTGTGCCTAATTTATAAATTAAACTTTATCGTAGGTACATAGACATAAGGAAAAAATGGTATATACAGAGTTCCTTATTATCAACAGTTTCAGGCATCCACTGAGAATCTTTGGATGTGTCCCCTGTGGATGAGGGGGACCTGCTGTACATGGGAGGAATACAAAGAAAGGAAACTAAACTAGGAAAGCCAATACTTCAGTAGGACATAAGCAATTTTTAAAATAATACATAAGCACCAGATAAAGGAGTAAAGGCCCTATGGGAAGAGGTTCCAATCTGTGGCTGTCACCTAAGCCAGGCGACACAGTACTTCCCGAGGGCTGACTGAGTGCTGGTCAACACAACCTTGATTTTCCTTAAAGCCCAGCCTTTCTTGATTCTGTGTTTTTGTTCTTCTTCTACAATTTATTTAATACCCAGATGCTTGGTATCCTATTTCCATATTTTTAGATGGTAATATTTTACCTCTTTGTTCAGTCCCTTTCCTGTGTCACTGCTCTGGTTGCAGCCAGAGACCACAGAGAACAGAGCCTTTATTGACTCATTGCAACTAGGGACACCGAACACCTTGGGGAATTGGGGCATGCCTCAATAAGAGGGTAGTAGAAATGACTTAGCGTATTTGGGTTTGTGCTCGGTGTTCGGGGGCAGGTTTCAGGAAGCAGGGATTTGGGCTGGGTTAGGAATTAGGGGTAATTGATTCTTCTAATGAATCTTATCTAGAAGGAGGGAAGAACGAGGGAGGCTAACTCTCTGTTTTCTTAAGAGGCAGTGGTCACTCAGATTTGACAGCAAATGAATTTTTGGTATTTTTGTGGTCTGCACAGAGACCATGGATTTGTCTGTGTGTAGACACGATTAGGGAAGGGTCTCGTGTTTTCTTTCATTCATCACTGTCAGAGAGTGACCCTGTCTAACGTCAGTGTTCTGTGAGATTGATTACGTTCAACAGGGGAAGAAAACAGCATTGCTATGAGTGGCAGACCAGCTCCTCCAACACTGAGGCCAGTTAGTGCCCGGCCAGGTCCCTCTGTCAAAGGCTCCCGTTCTCTTTCTTTCTTGTAAACAGTATCTCTGTTTGGTTGAAGTAGGAGCCTGAAACAATCATGCCTGGTTCATCTTGACTATCCCCCTTACTGGCCATGCGGTCTTGTGTAAGTTTTAACTTTCTTGGAGCCATAGTTTGCTCAGACACAAGACAAAATAGCATTTACCTCATACAACTGTTGTAGGAATTACGTGAGAAAACAAAACAAAACAAAAAAGCCTAGCACAGAGTAATATCTCAATACATGACTGCAATTTGTATTACTTGCCAGGATATTCTTCTGCATAGCACTTTGTAGATATGTGCCCAATTGAAATGGTTTCTTTATCTTTTTTTTGAAGGTGAGAAGGCTAAATACCTCGGATATAAAGGGAAACTGTTCTGTTAAATGTTCAACCCCATGATCACTGCAAAACCATTTACTAAAATGTTTATGGAAATGTTTTTCAGCATTTGCTCTCACCTCAGCGAGCCCCCGAGAGGCTCATTCAATTGGCAGAGGGCAATCTGAACACACTTGTAATGGAAATGAATGAGCTTCTGACCAGGGTAAGTTGGGAAGACCACGAATCTTCTTAAAGCAGATAGACCCTATATGTTAATGAAAATTACATCACATTTCTGAAATGCAAATCTTGCCTCTAATTCCCAGTTTGGCGCACGAAGTAAATGTATTTTGATCTGCCACTGCTTCCTCAAAGAAAAACTTAGCATCAAAGAAGTTTGTGAAACTTGGACAGTGTCAAGGACAAAGGCTAAAAATACCAGAGTGACAGCGTATTTTGAAAACTCAACCCAGTCACATGTAAAGTCTTTATCAATTCTGAATTCCAACAGCACTGTCTTTGACTATGTAAGGGAAAAGAAAAACAAATGAAAATACTTAGACGCTTTGATCTCATCAGGGGATATTTGCATTTGTATAGAAATAGTCTAAATCAGTATTCCTACACAAAAGAGGAAATCTTTATTGTGAAAATCCAAAGCATTTAAGACCCTTTTAAAAGTTAGAATGTAAAGTCCGTGTTACATTTATCAGACTTTTTAAGGAATTGGGTGTTTTCAACTTTCAAAACTGCAAAAGGGTAAAATTTCTTTTTTGCTGTTAGAGAATAAAGAAAACAACAAAATTTCGCCATCTTGTGGCCAGAAAACTGCATGAACAGAAAACTGACCTGTAATTTAGGCATCCAGTCGGATTATCTAAGAGCTTTAAATGGCAAAGAATATTGGAGCTAGAAGCTCTTACATATTATCTAGTTCATTTCTTCTTTATTTAAGAACAGATACCTCACCTTGTGACAGTGAAATGAATTACCGATGGCTACATAATTCACTAGACTCAGGAACCCAAGTGGAACCTAGGCTCCAGATTCCCATTGGCCTAGTACGGTTTCCACCACACAAGCATGCTGCAGGGTTTAGGAAAATTTCTGTAGGGAAATCAAATCAGCTTCTGAGCACAGAACGCTAAACAATGGCCTTGATATCACAAATAGCATATTAAATACTTTTTCAGAATCTTGTACCAGCAAGATACAGAATAGGGTTTCTTGCCAGATGTAGTTAGTATTAATTAGATTAATGTACACGTATCTCCTATTAATTTTAATAGTTAATACTTTTGTATTTGTTATGTAAATACAAATAAATAAGAAATTTTAAACCAATCACAGCAAAGTAAACTCAATTCAACAAGCACTTCTGAATGTTCGCCCAAGCTGGGTGTTTAGACGAAAGACACAAATGAAGCTGTCTTTGTCTTCAATGAACTTGAATCTAGTTTGTGTGTGTGTGCATGTTTGTATATGTGTGTGTATACATATGTATTTAAATGTATGGAGAGTAATATGGGACAACTGCATGCAAATACATAATAAAACATTAAATAAAAAGAGGAACAAGAAATGCACCCGAGAAACACATGCAAATGAAATAAGTTAATCTTGTTATGTTAATTAGGGAATATTCCATGGAACAGCGGACACTTCATTTATTCATTCATTTTATCAATACTTATTGGGCATCTACCATGTTCTAGGTACTCTGTCAGAATGACAGACATTGGGGATAGAGGTATAGACAAGGCTGACACAATTATTATCTCAATGATCTGATTACAGCTTAATGATCTAAGCCTGGAAACATAAATATTTTACTAGGAAAGTCATACCTTTATTATGTGTTAGCCTACATCATTTCATCTCTTCAGCAGACTCTCCAATAGTGAATAAAATTTTAAAAATAGACTTTATATGTTAGAAAAGTTTAAGGTTAAAAGCAAAGTTGAGGGGCACCTGGGTGGCTCAGTCACTTAAGCCTCTGACTTCGGCTCAGGTCATGATCTTACCATTTGTGAGTTCGAGCCCCACATCAGGCTGTCTGCTGAGCCCGTTCCAGATCCTGTGTCCTCTTCTCTCTCTCTGCCCCTCCCCTGATCATGCTGTCTCTTTTTCTCTCTCTCTCAAAATAAGCGTAAAATAAAATCAAAGTTGATTGAAAGTACAGAGTATTACCATATACCCCCAATCCTACACATACATATCCTCCCCCATTATTAACACCCCCCACTCCCAGAGGGGTACATTTGTTACAATAAATGAAGCTACACTGACACATCATTATCACTAAAAGTTCATAGTTGACTTTTGGGTTCCCTCATGGTGTACATTCTATGGGTTTTGATAAATGTTTAATGACCTGTCTCCACCATTATAGGATCATACAGAATAGTTTCACTGCCCTAAAAACACTCTGTGCTCCAACTACTCACGACCCCTCCTCTCAAACCACTGCAAAACTGATCTTTTTACTGTCTCTATAGTTTTGTCTTTTGCAGAGTATCGTATAGTTGGAATCATACAGTATGTAGCCTTTTCACACTGGCTTCTTGCACTTAGTAGGATCCATTTAAGTTTCCTCCGTCTCTTTTCATGGCTTGATTGCTCATTTCTTTTTTAGCGCTGAATAATATTTTCCATTGTCTGATTGTACCACAGTTTATTTACCCATTCAGCTACTAAAGGACATCTGGGTTGCTTCCAAGTTTTGGCAATACGAATAAAGCTACTATATACATTTGCATACATAAGTTTTCAATACATTTTTGTAAATACCAAGGAGCTGAATTGGTGGATCATATAGTAAAGAGTGTTTCATTTTGTAAGAAATCACCAAACTATCCTCCAAATTGGCGGCACCATTTTGCATCTCACCAGCAATGAAGAAGAGTTCCAATTGTTCCACATCCTCCCCAGAATTTGGTGGTGTCAGTGTTTTGAATTTTGGCCATTCTAATAGGTGTAGAGCTGTATCTCCTTGTTTTAATTTATAGTTCCCTAATGATATATGATGCCAAGAATTTTTTTTCATATGTTTATTTGCTATCTGTATGTTCATCATCTTTGGTGAGATGTCTGTTCAGATCTTCACTATGGTCTGAGTGTTTCGTCACTTCCAAAATTCCTATGTTGACGTTCTAACTGCCAGGATGATGATAATAGGAGGCGAAACCTTTGAGAAGTGATTAGTTCATGAATGTGGAGCCCTCATGAATGGAATCAGTGCTCTTACTAAAGGAACTCCTATAAAAGAGAGATCCTTTTCCCCCTCCTTGCCATATGAAGACACAGTGAAAAATGACACCAGGAAGTGAGTCCTCACCAGACACCGAATCTGCTGGGGACTTGATCTTGTACTTCCCAATCTCTAGAACAATGAGAAATAAACTTTGGTTTTTTATAAGCCACCTAGTGCATTGTATTTTGTTATGACAACCCAGATGGACTAAGTCTTTTCTCATTTTTTTTTTTTTAGTTGTGTTGTTTTCTTATTATTGAGCTTTAAGAGGTCTTTGTATATTTTGGATCATAGCCCTTTTTCAGATATGTCTTTTGCAAATATTTCCCCCCGTCTGTGGTTTGCTTTCTCATTCTCTTGACAGCATCTTTCACAGTACAGAAGTTTTTAATTTTAATGAAGTCTAACTTATCAATTATTTCTTTCATGGATTATACCTTTGGTGTTGTATCTAAAATGTTGTCACCATATTCAAGGTCATCTGTATTTTCTCCTGTGGTATTGTCTAGGTGCTTTATAGTTTTGTATTTTACAATTAGGTCTATGATCCAATTTCAGTTACTTCCAATACCATTCTTAAATAAACTTGTTATTTTAGAATAGCTTTAGATTTATAGAAAAGTTACAAAGATAAGACAGAGATTTCCTCCAGGACCCATACCTGGTTTCCCCTACTGTTACTTTCTTCGTATGGTATGTCTATCACAACTAATGAACTAGTATTGAGCCATTATTATTAACCAAAAACTGTACTTTACTCAGATTTCTTCAGTTTTCACTTAATGTCTTTATATTATTCCAGAATCCCATCCAAGATACTGCATTACATTTAGTCATGTCTTCTTAGACTATACACTGAGATTTAGACTTTCCTTGTTTTTGATGATTTTGATAGTTTTGACAAGTGCATATAATTTGTGGGGTGTCCCTCAGTTGGATTTTGCCTCATGTTTTTGTGATCAAAATATGGAGTTATGGGTTTTTGTGGAAAAGACCAAAGAGGTAAAGTAGCATCCGTATCACATCAAATTAAGAACACATGCAATCAGTATGTCTTATTATACTGATGGTGATCTTGATCACATGGCTGAGGTAATGTTTGCCAGATTCATCTACTGTAAAGTTATTCCTTTTCCTCTTACCACACTGCAAGACCATTTTTATCTGTGAATTCTTTAGATTTTATAACACAAAAAGCCTAGAAATAAGACTGCTGAAAGCAAAGATCTCCTTGATAATGATCTCCTTGATAATGTGAGGATGAGGAGAAAAAATGGAAATCCTCATTTGTGAATTAATCTTATCTCTATCACATTTATAATTAGAAACATAACTTTCATGGAGACCTTAGATACTCAAGTCTTCATGATCAGTTCGTTCCCCATGGTCAAGCTGCTTAATAATCCGAAGGTGATTGATACACATGGCATCATTTCTATAAGATACGATACTGGATATTGGAAATATCCAATAGTATCAGCCTAAGACCACCAGTACCTTCATCTTACAGCCTTATCACCCAGCCAGCGTTTGGGACCAGAATCTGAGAAGTGCAGTAGCCATGATTTCCATTGCCTACGTTAAAGGAGACAGTGCCTTAAACCAGGGGCCCACACTGGAGTTACCTGGGGCTGAGTCTCACCCCCAAAGGGGCTGTGATATAATTGGCCTGAGGTGCAGTAAGTGCACTGGGATTTTCAAGAACTCTTTGGATGATTCTGATGTCAGCCAAGATTGAAAACTACTGTGGGCTTATAATCACCTGATAGTTCCAGTTCCCTTTCCTCTGGAAAGTTCTTTCACTTGTATAGCCGATGTTTTTGATGCTTCTTTTCTTCTGCTTTGGTGGCCAACCAGGCACTTTAGGACTAACATATTCTTTAGATTTCTTAAAGCATTTGGTGAGTCTCATCCTACATAGCTGGTGTGTGTTGCCCTCTCTCCTTCAAGTGCTTATATGTGTTGTGCTC